GTGTGTGGGCGGGCGTGGGTGTGTGTACAGGGGAGGGTGGGTTAAAGGAGGAAAGGTTAATTGGCCACTATTAATGTTTATTGATCGTTCTAGGGTAAAGAGTTTACCTTAACTCCTGAACAAATTTAAACAAAGGCTATGAATAGAAACTGATCGTGTAAGGTCAAGATTACAGTCTTACCCCAGTTACTTTCACACAGACTTCTCTTTTTATCCCTTTACGGCGCTCACAACTGCATAAGGTCATATTATGAGCATCAATATAGGGGTGGATGTTAACAGAGAAGTCCAAACGGAGAATCGCAGGCTTACTCTGCTCACTTCTCTAGCCTCAACAGCACAAAGTCTGCTTCGACTATCAAGGCACCCCGGAAATAGCAGTTCACAAGAGAGTGACAAACATACAAAAGAAGTACAGGAAAAATGACGATAGTAAGGATTAGGAAAGAAAAAGCAGCAGTTCCCCTTATGTTGTTCCGGCACAGTATATGAGCATGACATTCATAGATCAGCCCATTTACAATTCTACTGTGCATAAGAACAAGTTAATTAATATTCCCCCCTCTGGGAATGGCCTAAAAACAACTTCAGTCAGTAGCACTGCACTGGTATTAGGGAGGGGAGGCATCTGCTCCGTTGTCCAGCATGATACCAACTGAGCTAACAGTGCATCCAAAGGAGATGAGGGTGTGTCTGGGGGTGGGGGTGGTAGGGGGCGGAGAAGGCGTTAAACGTCAACGTCACCACACCCCCTGTCATCCAACAATCTCTCCCACTGACAGAGAATTTTCCCTTCCTGCCTTTGTTATTGGCGTCCTTTCACGTCATCATTTGTGCCATGACGCGGCGGAATCAGGCGCTCGTCAATTTCTGGGCATATCATTGAGTTATTAGTGTAATCCTAAAGCCTGGTTATTTGCCTCGCCTTGCTTCTGATGACGAAATACACATCTGTCTTGAATGGAAGTAGAGATATTTTTGATGGAAGAAGATGGAAGTGGCCTGGTCTCAGATAAAAAATAATTGCCGCCAAAGTTAGGTGACTTCCTAAGTTGAAGTGTCCTTCGTAACTGCAAATTACCACTCTTTGAGCCGTTGGCCTACTTTTTTCAGTAAAATCTAAACAATCCTGTGTTGTTGAATGGACAGAAAAAGGTGTTGTGCCAAAAACCCACCCAAAATATGTCAACAAAAATTGCCCTAACAACCAGTCAATTGCCAATTTCTGTTATTTCATTATTTTGACGAGCGCCTGATTTCATCGTGAAAATTTTCATTTTTATTTTCGCTGCTTTTGTCCAGCATGAAAGGGCTTACTTTTTTTCATTTATTTTTTAACTGATTCTCTTTCCAGAAAAGGAAAAAAAAGAAATATAAAAACAAAGCAAGTTGGGGGTGGTCGTGAGGTTGTGAGAATGATAAGAGTTCGTCGAAGTAGGCACAGAAATAACACAGGGACGACAAAATATTATTGGGGAAGGTCTGAAGAAAAATCTGGACAAAAATGTAGCAAATGGAGTGACATTGATCGGATCACGTACAGATGAACGGCCCTTTGAACTCGCCGAAAACAAACACAGGCTGGAAAGAGCTCCCACCCGCGGAATGGCACGTCCTCAGAACGATTGCCAAATTTGGTGATATGATGTCGTATCACGTGATTTATTACAACCAATGGGCGTACTGCATAGTGGGGGGAAACCCATAACGATAAATAATCTTTCGACAATTAATTCCCTGCTGTTTGTACTTTTAATGTTCCTTTTGATCGGTCTTATTTCCTCTGATTACGGGTACTTGAACTTTTTCTGAACCCATTTTGTCACATAAAAAGTAATTTTATGACATAACGAGTCGTGGACAAAATTCCGACAAATTACAGCGCTAAACGCAGACGTCACTATTTGATTATGGAAATTAAATCATTTCGCGACGGGAACTCTTCTTCGTGATCTGACACCAAAGCTAACAATTCCTCTTCAATTATGATTTTTATTTTTCTACACAATTTAAGTTACTTCAAAGGCGGTGTACTTGGTTATTCACAGAACCACGGGCGTTAGCTTCGAAAGGCATGAATTTGAATCAAATGAATCGTGATAGCAACACACCATGAGTTGTAAGCCTATTTTGCGTTACAAATCAAATAAAACAACAACAAAAATACAAGCGTTAGAAGTGGACAGCTATCAAATAAAACACCAAAAAAAATAAATAAACAAGATTTAGAAACAGACCGGTAAAGTGGAACATCGATGAAAAGTCAGCTTTTTCGAGAAGAACCAGCTACCCATCTATGATTGATATTATGACACGCCACGCCCCATTTGAATACAAAGAAAGTGGGTGGTTGGCGTGTGCTCTGACTTGTTTTGGTTTGCTCCTGCTTTGCTATCAAACATCTATCGTCTTTATCTCCCCTCCTTCTTTGTTATGTTTGTTACTCTCCATTTCTAATCTTCGGCACTTATATGACCTTATTGTGTTGCAAGTGCCGTAAAACTCTTACTAAAACTAAAAAACTACATGTATTTAAAAAATCTCCTTGTCTTTTAAAGAAACTGAACAAGGGGCAAAAATTTTAACTTCGATTTTCTCGAAACTGCATTTTTCGGAATAGCCCCCTTGTGCTTAAAAGCGACCTATTGAACCAAATAGAGCTCTCCATTGTGTACTGGAATTACATTTCAGCGCGCGATCATGGATATAGTATACTAGTTTATGACCAGTCCATGCGGATAATTATTGACGTAATGGTAGTCTGATTTCTAAGAGTTCATTGACTAACCACGCGTAGGAGTACAATGGATTAAAACTGCGTCATAGTAAAAAAAAATTTAAGATGATCTCTCTTGTAACACCTCTAACCTTCTGGCGCTCATATGACCTTATGCAGTTGCGAGCACCGTTAAACCTCTACTAAAACTAAACTAAAAGTTTCCTGTCAAACACCTATCGTACTTATCCCCCCCCCCCCCTCCTTCTTTTTCATGTTTGTTACTCTCTTGTAACACCTCTAATCTTCTGGCCCTCAAATGACCTTATGCAGTTGCGAACGCCGTGCGTAAAACCTTACAAAAACTTTTAACAAATTGTGGGTATACACAGACTAAAACCTATACTAAAACTACTGAGTTAAAATACTGGGTATACACAGACAGTACAGCTATGTAATGTAGGCTCACCTGGCGAACAGTGGGGATCCTTGGCACAGTTGTAGAGGAACTTCATGAGACTGTTGTGGACCGCTTTCGAGCCCGCCGAGCTGCTCATGTGCGAGTAAGAACACATGTATCCGATACAGCCACGTTTGCCTCGGAATTTTCTGGGGAAGACAAAAGAAGAAGATATTTAATAAGATAAAATAATAATTTAATTAATAAATCTCTTTTAGTTTTAGTAAGTCTGTCCCCGTCGTTTTATGCAAGAAAAATTCTGAAATTATGCAAACTGAGTCCAAAAATGTGAAATTATGCGATTCTGTCAATTTTAACAAAGAATGATAAAAGAAAATAATTAGAAATTATGCTAAAAATGATCAAATTTTGCTAAATTATGCGGGGTGCATAAAACCACGTGGATAGGTAAGTGTTTTACAGCACTTGCAACACAATAAGGTCATATAAGTGCCGAAGATTAGAGGTGTTACAGGAGAGTAACAAACATAAAAAAGGAGGAGAGACAAAGACGATAGATATTTGATAGGAAAGAAGGAGCAAACCACACCAGAGTACCCGCCAACCACCCGCGTATTAATCTCTACAAAGAGGGATTTGATGTGGCTTTGTAGATACATACATACGCATACGCACCTCCCCTCCCCTTTTTTCTCTCTTTCTCTCTTTCTCTCTCTCTCTCTCTCTCTCTCT